GCCCAATATGTTACTTAGGGATGAACCACATCCCAAACCGAGTAATGTTCCTGCTCCTCTCACATTTCCTTTTTTGGAAAATGGTTTCTCCAAGAAATTTAGTGTGTTACAATGTATGTTGATGTCCTGTGATTTTTATAATTCCTCAGCAATAAAATTTTTATTTAGGAATCATTATAGATTTTATCTGCTGTGTTGCATGACATTTTGTCATATTTCATATTTAGTTAAACATTGCAAATTTTTATACATGCTAAACTACATGTAAATCATTGCCACTTTAAGTTTCTATTCTCAATTTTTAATGGGAATTTCTTTTAAAAATTAGCTATTTTTTCACTTTTCTGTTTATTTCAGGCAGTGTAAAACTTCAAGCTTTTCTTAAATAATGACAATTACTTTAGTTTCACTTAAATTCACATTTTCTGTTTCCATATTTTAACAGTTATTTTATCTCCAATTGTTTGCTCTGTATAAAGATAATTTTAACAGAATCACTTCTACTTTTTTACACTATTCTGAATACCTTCTCATTTAAAAATTGATGCTTACAATATACATAATCTTGTTTCATACTGTTCACTTACAGGAAATTTAATATTTTGTGGGGTGGTCCATTTTTTCAGGTTCTATCATATCAGCCTTTAAAAATTTCCATGTTGTTATGGATTGTGTCTAGATGTCCCCCATAGTTCCATGCAGTCAGAGGTAGTGCTTTTCCAGAGGTGGCTAGGTAGAGACTGTGTGGCAATGGGATTGATTTATGGTGCAATGCTGGGTTTGAGGGCAATAGGATTAGGATATGAGTGCTAGCCACCAATAGTAGCCTGGATAAAAGGTCAATGTCAGGAAGTGGTGTGGTCATCCTTCATTGTTTTGCAGTCTGCCAAAACTCTGTGGTGGCTCTGTGGTGGCTGTCTGCTGTGCTAACCTGTCTTACATCTAGCCAATTATGAACTGAAAACTTTGCAAACTGTGAGCTAAATAACTTTTCTTTCCTTAACTTGTAGGTGTTCAGTATTTTGTCTCAGCAATGGGGAAAGTAACTCATACAGAATTTGGTGCCAGAGAAGAGGGATCTTCCTGGTGACTGTACCTGACCTTATGGTTTAGGAGCCTTTGAGCTAGCTTGTGGAAAGGGGGAGAGCTAGGGAAGGTTTGGAGTTGCAAGATGAAAAAGTAGAGCTGGAACCCCTGAGGATATACTCCATGTGAGATTGTGGTCAGAGCTCTGTGAATTAGAATACTGACAGAAATGTTGCTGGTAAAGCCTGAGCTAAGGAGTTTTTATGGTAATAAGGACTATGGTGATATGGTTTTCCTGTAATAAGGACTGGGTTGATGTAGGACTTCAAATGTGTTATGATGTGGCAGTAAATCTGTCTGCATTTTGCTTATATCTAGACACTTTGCCTAATGCTGATATTAGGTGTGGCAGACTAATCTTGCAGACTAAATTTAAAGGCAGTCTAATATTGATGCATTGGCATGGATACTGTTGCGGACTTTTTCTGCTGAGACCCAAGAACAAAGAGCACAGAAGAATGGTTCAAACCATTATGAGTTTGGCAAGACAGGAAGCTCCAGGAAAGTTGAGACCTGAAAGGACGAAGCAGGGGAAATTGGTTGTTGGAATGACTAGCAAGAAACATTCAAGTACTACAAAGGAAGGCAATAGAAAACTTGACAGAAGACAACAGTCTTTGTAGCCTCATATTTGCAAAAATAGAAGACTGTTCTTTGAGAAGAAAGTCCCAGAGCACCATGCACCAAAATACTTGGCAGCCTAGGGAAGTTGCTCTGTGGGATTTGATATATAGATATTATCATCCTAAATCCAAGAGAGGACACTGTTTGGCTAGTGCTTCAGCTGGCAGCAGGCCACGGCATCATCTGCATGGTGCTATCTAGGCACAAGCAGAGTGTAAGTGCTGCTGGGTAAGGCTGCTATCTGGATTTCATAAGAAGGCCTGAGAGGCCTGGCAGTGTGACCCTGAGAAGGCAGTGTGTGAAGCTGTGGGTGTAAAGCTTAGATTGCAGTACAGACCCCAAAAGTTGAGAAATTCTAAGAAGGTGAAGTAAACATACAAGGAAGGGGCACAGACAGCCTCCATGAGAAACCATGGGAGTTTCGACCACTGACAGTGCCTTGGAGGAAGAGGGACCCAAGGCCTTGGGTGTTAACACATGTTTCCAGGATGATGGGCATGGAACTGCAGGACTTACGTTTGCTATGGTGGATGTTGTACTTGCTTTGATCCCATTCCTTTGTATCTCCCTATTTTTACCTTTTGGAATGGAATATTTATGTTGTGCCATTTGTTCTGGAAGTGTTCATATCTCTTTTCATTTATACTGGAGCTTGCAGCTAACCATTTGTCATAAATCTCAGAGGATATTTGGGAGTTGGAATTTTCAGAAATGTGGAAGTTTTTAGGACTTTGGCAACTCTTAGAGATGGACTAACTGCCTTTTGCATAAAGGTATGTTCTTGTGTCTTTGGGGGGGCATGGCTGGATATTATGTTTTGTGTCTCCACATCCTCCCATAGACTCACACAAGCATAAGTGGATATTCTTCAGAGGTGACTGGATCTACAGTGTTTCATGCTGGAGTTTATTCATGGTGCAGTGCTAGTGTTAAGGGCACTAGGGTTCAGGGTATCAGTGTCACCTTCCCTAATTAGCCTGGATAAGCTCTATGGGTTAGCAAGGTCTGTGGTTGTCCCAGGCTGCTTTACTGTCTTTCCCACCATGAACTATTTTACTCTCTGCTGAATGCATGCTGAGCCATCCTACCCTGATTATATACTGATTATGGACTGAAATCTCCACAAAATGTAAGTAAAATAAACATTTCCTCCTTTAACTTGTAGATATTGGATACTTGTCTCAGCAATGAAAAAAGTAAGATGCATGTTTTCATATAAACTTCTCTGTGACTTGAAACACTCTACGATTTACCACTGTCCATATTCACATTAGTAAGTGTGCTCCATGAAACAGCATAAATTGCAGATGTTATGGTTTATATACTGTGTCAACTTAAGAAGTCTAGAAGCTCAATTAAGTGACTCAGCAGCTCCACATCCCGGGGTGTAGAGGACAAGCCATTACCTTCTAATGTATTGTTCACTGTGTCAATCTGAAGTCAGAACTTTAAGTGATGCAGCAGTGGGCCAGAGTCCCTGGTTTGCAGCATACTCAGCCTGAGAAAAAGTAGCTCGTGCAGGTAGTGCAAGTGCTGCACCCATCCCAGGGGAGCAGCCTGTATACAATAAAAGGAAAATGAAGAGGGACAGACAACTGATTCTTAGGAGTAGATTCGGCTTCCCCTTCAGCTTGGATGTCATCTCCTGGCCTCTGGCACAGACTGTTTGGGTTTTGCCTCGGACGCTTCATCCTTTTTGGAGACTCTTCAGCCTTACTCGTAGACTCCCTGGTTTCCTGACACAGACTTGCATGGAACTCTGCAGCAAGCTCCAGCAATTGAGCAGGACCTTTCAACCTCTAGAATGCAGACATACTCTGCAAACTGCCTCCTCTGACTTTGTGGCTGAGCATCGTAAGCCAATCTTGTGATTTCTTATACATTTTTATATCTGTAACACTTTCTCTAGTAAACCCTCCCTGATACAGCAACATAAAACACCTTCACAATGTTGTAAAGGTTATAAATAAAAGATTTTTCTCTGTCTTATACACAATTTGAAGCAGAAAACAATGAAACAATAATAAAGGTAATAGTAATAGCCTAATTTTGTAGTTTACTTTATGTGGTAAATCTTTGTGCTTTGTTTTTTATTGGATGACAATATAAATGATTGAGAATTGAATCAAAGTGACAAGACCTACTTGGGGTGCATGGTGAGGCTTCCCAGGAAATCACATCTCTGAGGAGAGGGCAGAGGTGGGGCCCTCTCTTACCTGGGGTTCTGGTTTCCTGGGTCTGTGAGGGGCTGGAGGGAACACCCAGACAGGAGGCTTTGCAGACACTTTGTCAGAAATGGCAGCCTTGGCCCTCTCCTTGGTGTGCTCGGAAGCATTACTTGTGTTTATTAGCTCCACTACCAGTTTCTCACAACACCATCTTCACTGAAATACATTCACGGCTCACTACAGTATGTTGTACATGATAAATACACAGAAGAAGTGAATAAAAGTGAAGTACTGCACTGTTCCTTAACATTTTGACTGTATTTCCTTCACCATTTCATTATGTAGATTTTAGATGTTTTACTGCACTATGTACCTGGTTTCTTAGTTTTTGCTCATTGAGTCTCTGCTTTATTTAGGGGTGGCCCCCTCCATATATTCTGTGAATACTCCAGCAACACATTTCACATTCAAATCTTGGGGACAGATAGAAAAACAACCCTTTCCTCCTGTGTCCCACAGCACTGGAATGGGATTCACTACTAAGTTTTTGATAGTTCATCAGACAGAATAGTTCGTGTTGTCACAGTTTGTCTGCTCATTTTTTATGCTTTGATTTTTCAATTTGAACAACTACTTCTAAGTTATCAATATGTAACATTTCAACTGGTGATGATTTCCTAATATTTTTTGAAATTCTGTATCATTTCTACTTTTTATTCTGTTATTTTTTTAATAAAAAAGAAAAAAGATATATGAATATAAGACAATGAAAATTAAAGACCCACCACCAACCAGACTAGAGGAAAAAGTTGCAATCCAGTTGCTGAAGGTATCAGAGTAAAAAATATGTTTCTGTATAATTTTAAGCAGCTGGTTAGTGTACTTTCACCATAAACTTCTCACTTTCTGGAAGTTACACCTCTGAACACAGGACACTTCTGGGGGACATTTCAGATGTAAATCATAACAATTTGAATTTCTCCTGTATCAACCAGCTGTTTTGCCTAGTGCATATTAAACATGGCCAAACACTTCAGAAACGACGACTGACACTGATACATGACATGTTTGAAACTCTCGTGTATTAAATTTACCCAAGTGATGTGGAATAACTTTAATCACTTATCTGCAGTGATTGCCAACAACAGGACTATGATTAAGCTGGGTAGGAAAAGCTTCCTTCACTCTCAGTACATTTCCTGTGAAGAATAATCTTGTCATGAATTTCCTGAGGGTGCACGTTATCTGCTGGTTTCTGAGGCTGTAGATAGCAAGGTTGAGGTGTGGGGTGGATACAGAATAGAACACAGACAAGAAGATGTCCAAGATGCAGGCAGATGTGGCAGGGGGGCTCAGATAGACATAAGAGCCTGAGATGAAGATTCCCACCACAAGGATATGTGGCACACAGGTGGAAAAGGCCTTTGTCCTGTCTGCTCCTGCTGGTAACCTGAGCACAGTAGGAAAGATTTGAATGTAAGACTTGATGATGAAAATGAAACAGCCACCAACAAAAACCAGAATAGCAACAAGGATGGTGATCCAGTTGCTGAAGGTGTCAGAGCAAGACAGCTTCAGCAGAGAGGGGATGTCACGGAAGAGCTTCTGGACAGCATGCGAGTCACAGGAAGACAGCCAGAAGGTGTTGCTGGTGTGCAGGGCTGCATAGACAAGGCCACTGAGCAGAGAGGCCAGTGTAGAGTGGACACACATGCGAGGATTCTTTAGTGAAGGGTAATGGACGACCTTGCAGATGGCCGCAAAGTGGTCATGAGCCACTAGGAAGACCTGAGCAGCACATCCAGCCTTGAGAATGGAGCTGCTGTCCAGCAGGGACTTAATATAGGAGTTGGGAACCGACCATGACAGAAAAGTAGCATGAGTCCAGCATGGGCAGATTTCTGAGGAAGAAGTACATGGGTGTGTGGAGGATCTGGTCAAAAGTGATGACCACAGCAATGATAAGGTTTCCCATTACAGTGACCAGATAAATCATAGAGGAGAACATGGCATGGAAAACTTGTCGATCCTGCATGTTGGATAACTCCATTAGAAGAAAGTCCATCATCGTGGTGGAGTTGGACATCAGTGTGTGGTGTCAGTTGTACTGGAGAAGAAAAGACAGAAGTGCTGAGCCCAGGAAATGTCACTGTGTGGGATAAATCTTTCCTGACTCTTAAACTCCTGACTCTGCATTTTAGGCATGTGTGGTGCCTGGATCTTCTAACTCTTTAGGTTCTCTGTTACTCTGAATGATTATTTATTAACTTAAGCAGATACATACTGTAATTTTTGTTATGTGCATAATTTCCAACTTCACTGAAATTTATGCAACCTCTGTCTTCTAAGATTTAGTGAGGTTCTTGACATGTGCCTCACATATGCATATTTTAATATTAGACAAGTTGCAATATCATTAAAACCTTATTCTTCTGTTATTTTTTTACTTCCTAATGTTTGGTGCAAAGATTGTAATTTTTCTGTTACTGTAAAGTATATCATGAAGAGCTTAAGAAAAAATCCTATGTTTTAGTTTTTAATAGGATGAAAAAATACAGTTCACATTGATACAACCATAACTTATTTCACTGAAAATGCTAATATGAAAAACATTTTTGACAGCTCCCATTCTCATTGTCATAAACACTGCTGTCATTCTTGTCCTTTTCCTGCATTTTAGAGCACACCCTGCTGTGGCACACACTGTTTCAGTAAAGTTCTCTCTTCCACTCTAATCTCTTAAAGCTGCTGAGAGTGGGATTTGGCCACTGTGTATTTAGAGCACCTCTTCTCGAGCCTTCTCTGGGAGCTCCCTAGCTCCCTTCTAACCAGCTGCCCCTCCTTGGTGCTCAGGCATCTGCTGCCCTCTGCTCAATTTGGTAACTGTTTCCTGAAGAGTGCCCCATGTGTGATGAGTGAGTTAGATGAATGAATTAGAATTGCCTTCCCTTGTACTTTCATGCTGCTGATATAATTTGAATTTTATTATGTATAAAATTTGGTCTTCTTTGAGGAAGGTTTTTGCTATATGGTTCAGGCTGGCCTTGAATTCAGTTTGTAAACTAGATTAGCCTCAAACTCACAGTGATCCACCTGCTTCATCCTTCTCAGTGCTGGGATTACAGGCATACTCCCTGTATTGTTATGGCAGCGACAAACAGCATGCATGTACTTTATTTTCAATCAAGAGTAATTTATCAGTGGATTAGAACACAGAATCTTCTGAAGAATAAGTTAGGGAGAGAGGAGTTCTGGGACCTGCTATTTTCACTCACAACTTGGTAACTTCATAGTTTCTTCACCAAATATAAATGTCCTTCCCTAAAAAAGTATAAGGATTTACATTGCTGTGCTCTTTCTGTTCTTTGAATTTATCCTAGTTTTTATTATAATACATCTTTACCCTAATGCTATTACAGGACATATGAGAGAAGTAAAGGAAGTAATCATCTCTAAATCTCATGAAATTTTAATTCTACTAAGAGAGACTAACACTACAATTAAATGCCTAACAAATAAGTTTAGATGCTTCCATAATTAGTAAGAAATTGTACATGGATAGGAGAAGGGAAGGAGAACTTGGAAGACAAAAACTGGCCAACAAAATAAAGCACCATCTCTTTGTTCCAAAGCTAGTAATTTGTTTAATTATTTATGGAGAAAGCTCTAGTATTTGTCTTTCAACATCTTTAATGGATTAGATTAATGTCAAATATTTCTGTACATTCTTTAGAGATTGCACTGTGAAGTTTAAATTCTAATCCAACAAGAATTAAGAAGACTACAATGATATTTTTTCTTACAGAAATAAAATCATGGCAAAGTATAACCATCATAAGTCTTTCACTGATGTGTAGACTAAAATTTTATGACTTGATTCATTTTCTTCCTGGGGAAAATGTCTTAATGGTTAATCTGAAAGTTGGTGTATGGGATACACATGTTTATGGAATTACAAGAAAATTCTCTGTTGTTCTGCAACTGGAATATTTTAAAGATTAAACTAACTTTAGCTTCTTAATTTTAATTAAAACACACTGTACTACATTTGAAATATGTTTCCCTCAAACAATATCACCACTTGCATGGTTGTCTTCAAGCACCTCTATAAAGAAAATCTATAACTTACTCCCTGTGGATTTAGAAGTGAAATTTTCAAATTTTGTGTGAAGTTACAATGACTTGCCATGGATTAAAAAACCACTGTACAGTAATGAAACCCAGTTTATGCAAAACATAGGAAAGGACAAAAGCCTGGATATATAGCACTAGATCAGGTGTTACTAATACTTGGCTATAATTGACAAATATATGAACATTTAGTTTTCTATTTTAAATGAATAATAATTTTATGGCATATAAATAATTTAAATATTCCCGATTAAATCAAAATAATTTTCTCTTAAGATTAAAATAACTTGATTCTTTGCCAAAATATTGATGTTGAAAGATCTCATTTCCATAAGCAGAGCACATCAAAGCAGCTTCTGAGTTAAATGGTGACTCACCATCAACAATCCACTTCCACACAAGTTATTGAAACAAATCACATGATTTTTTTGTCAAAATGCATCAGTCTACCTGTAAAGACAATTGCACACTGCACTTCTCCTCTTTTACATATATTTACATGTTGGAAATATTCCCAAAATAAACTGCTGTCTTGTGCAAGAGCAAAACCTCATATCTCTGTACAAATATTAAATTAATTAATAATATCTTTAGATTTCTCTAAGTTGCTGTCAGTGAACACTTGAGACACTGGTCCCTTTGTTTCATTTTTTCTTAATTTTTGAAATTTAATTTTGGGAAAGCATGACTTTGTAAGTGACAAAAAAAACCTAGTTTCTAAAGCACACCACCTTGTGTTTGAAATGTTACCTATTCATTTGGTCAAATCTGCTTACAACTGTGAAACATTATGGTCAAATGTTCCAACCAACCCAGTGACCTTAAGATATGTCACAGATAATTACTGTGTGTAAACATTTTCAGACTGTTAGCCACCTTAATGTAGACAATATATGTGAAACTTTAATTAACTGATAATGTGTTAAAATATGTGTAGTCTTAGAATATGTAAGAAAATCTCTCATTTCAAAATTACCAAATTTTGTGATTAAAATAAATAATCCCTGCATGTGCCAAACGCAGCATAGCAATGTAAGTCATCAAATTGGTTCCTTTAATAATTGCTTTAATCTCTTTCTTTTTTGAATTAATTAGTAAACATTTTTCTCATGTAGAATCATCAAATGAATATTCTCTTTTAGTCTCAAATAGAACCATATTTCCTTTATTATAAAATAAATATAAAATGAGACCTTTTACAACAAAAGGAAGTTTTCCTCATTTTACTTTGGAGAGTTCAAGAAAGAAAATGCATTAAATAAAATTTCAATTAAAACACTAATTATATCACTTATTATTGATTTATTCCTTGTTATTCATCTAATTATTATTCATGATTAACATTTCTTTACTGAGGCTTCACTAAGAGGAACTGACTAATAAGTAAGAAATTGCAACCTCATGCTGTAACCACAAGCAGCACCTTAAAAAAGATGCTTAGGACTTGCCAAAAAGATGGTTAATAGATAAGAGCATAATACAGTGGCTTCCTGAGACAGACAACTCAAATGCGGAAATAACACATCATGGGGAGCCCTGGACATAAGGAGGTGGATCCTCTTGATAAAGGAAGAAACTAAAGTGAAAAGAATCAGTCAAATATGCAGTCCCAGGCTACTATTGAGGCAGCTAAGATTCTGTGCTCTTGCATGCCCAAATTCCAACCACATCGACTCGCTGGAACCACAGTTGTACTGAGGTACAGTTGCACTGAAGTTGGAGATTGGTGAGGCCAATGGAGAATGGACCTGGCAAGGGACCTGCATTGACCTTCAGTGAATGCCAGGAATAAAACCATTCCCTGGGAAAGGGGCACCGATTGGATGACATTGGGAATTGGGCAGGACTGGCAACAAAAAGGAACAGCAGTGACTTCAGTCAGTTGTTCCATTCCCAGAAAAGATTGGTGGGGTATGTTTGGCCTGCGTCACGCTGCTGGTTGAGACCCTATAATTTGTTCCCTACCTGCAGCACACACTAATGCAGTGGAGGCCTCAGCAGGTTGACTGACCAAGAGGGGAGGAGCCAGCATACACTCCTGTTGGCACCTCAATAATGGACAGGAGTGGAAAGGATCACCTAGCCCATGTGTTTCAGAAGAACTGTATCCAACAAGGAAAAGGACTGGGACCTCCTCTATACACCTGTATGGAAGAAACAAAAAATATGAGAAGAGGAAGCAACAAGAAAAAGTCCCCAACCCCCAATGCTGAGAACATTGATCCAGGAGAGATAAATACAAAAGAGATTGAGGACAACAAACATGCAATATCAGACACAGCACCACTGGACATGAAGAGATATCTTCAGGACCTCATAGATGAGTTCAAAAGTGAAATGTTTAGTCAAGTAAAGCAATATATAAGTAGGTTAATAAAAGAAATGCTATGCACCTCTCAAGAAGACAAAGATGGAGGAATGGAGGAGCACAAAAAAGGAGAGAAACGTTTGATGCAGTATATAAAGAAAATGTAGAATACATGAAGCAGGTTCAAAGAGATTACTAGGAAATAAAAAAACTGCATTGAAAGCTGGAAAAACTGCTTGAAAGAAAGTAAGGCTAGATTATCCAAACTGGAAGACAGGTTTGCGACGTGTGTGATCCTGAAAGGAAAAATTGCTTTAAAATAACAGGGAAGCAGGCAGTAACAATACAAAAGCTAGAAGACAACAAGAGGATCTATAACTAAAGAATAAAGAATGTGAATGAAGAAGCAGGAGTACAAACAAAGGAACTATAAAGGCTTTTCACAGAAATAGTTAAGGAAAACTTCCCAAGCATAGGAAAAGGAAATGATATTCTGATATATGAGGCATGCAGAAACCAAAACAGAGCTACACTGAGGCATATAATAATCAAGATCCCAGAAATTCAGTATAAGAACAGAATACTAAAAGCTATCAGAGAAAAGAAACAGATCTCCTATAAAGGAAAATCCTTCAAAATCACAGCAG